GACTAGTCATTTATTCAAGAATTATTGTTAGTCTCGAAAACTACTTGCCTCTAAGGCATGTTCGCGTATTGTATTGTAGAGTCACGAGTTCGAAGCAATGGATGGAAGAAGGAGCTGTTTGGTGCTAAAAGAATGAAAAGTGACAAATTCACTTCCTATTCGAAAGTAGTTGGCCTGGATGTCTGATGTCTGATGTCAGATAATACATTATGTTTTAACTAATTGGGGAAAATGTTCTTCCACCAGTCCTTCATCACCTTAAACGAAATTAGGTGAATACATCTCATACTACTGATTTACTGGTAGTCTCAAAACAATAATTAAATGCGAAAAATATACACCATCCCGCATAATCGTTGGTTGTAAGGTTGGCTTATGAGATGAACTGAACAAATCAGTTCATACCTCACAAGAGTGAATAGGGTTTGAGTATGTATTCGGCATGTAGGAATAATTAGGACTTCTGACGCTTGCTAACCACGTTTTCATCGGAATCGAAAAAGGCTGTCTTCATTTTGTAAATGAAAAATTTTAGGATGAATGAATTTTAGTGCACGTTTTGTGCATACATTTTGCATAATTGCTTAAACTTTCATCTTGCCTGATGAAGAGATTCACCGAAAGAGGACGGCCGATTCTGCGCGTTTTACAGCCGTTCAGGTTAACGCTGTTGACGAGACATCCGTCCTCGTTTCTAAGCAAATCGCCTCCCACCGACTTTTGCCTCGAGAGGAAGAGTCAAGTCGTTGGACCAGCTCATTGCGGAAGTCGTCGAGACCCACTTTTTCTTCACAAACCCACAAACAACTGGGATCATCCGCCCCGGCGTCGCCTCGTCGACCTGTCCTGCTGCAGTTCGCATCACGAGGCCTGTACTTGTCACCTTGACGACGTGTAGATTGGCGATACAAACCGACGCTTTTGCTTGGCTCTGCCTACCGGCGAGGCGTCGTGGAATGTGCACCGGTTCGGGGTGTCGAAATTGTTTGCCGTCAACATCGACAGTCCGGATTGATTGGTAGTGACCGAAGCCAAATATGACGGCACAACTGGCGGCAACGAAAAAGGATATCTT